ACACAAATATGCTAAAATACAGCAGATAAAGTGTTCCTACTAGGGAGTTAGACAGATAATTAATTAAATAAGTGCTTGCTGCAATCATTTTTATTTGCACTGCTAAATACACTATTGTACCTGATAACTGGAGCTGAAGAAATATATAAGTTAACTGGTAAAGGACAAGAAAAATCCCCAATCCCAAACCAAAAAACAACAACAAAACCCACCCTAAACCAAAAGAGCCCACAACACACCAAACCACTCCAGTTTAGAAATGATGACTCAAGTTTGAAGGCAGCCTGAAAGAACTGAATTTGTTTAGTCTAGGAAAGCAAAGACTGAAGGGAATTTGATATGTCTTCTAGTACATAAAGGACCCATCTATTAAAATACAAAAGTAGCTCTGAGCAACAGAATTTTAACAAAGGAAAATTTCTGTTTCAGGAGAATAATTAAGCACTGACAGAGACTAATAGGTGTAACTGCTGAATCTGCATCACTGAATGTTTTCAAAGAAGCATCTGCTGGGGATAGTTTAGATAAGGCTGAGAGCAGAACACATCACTTGATATTCCAGGCTTGTACTTCTATACTTAATTGTACTTGTAAACTGTCTCAAGTAAGACTATTTTCAGCAAAAAACATCTGTTAATTTCATTTAAATTATCAAAAAAGCCAACATCCTGTCACATTAGGATACTGGCTCCCCATTAGTGATTTCTTCTGTGCATGTATTACCTTTAGCATGTTGCATCTTACTCTGTAAATCTGCCATGACTGAAGAACTCTGAAAATAGTTGTTGGATCTTTTCCTTGCTTAAGACACTCAGTTAACATTATTTAAAGGTAGATAATGAATCATTTAACCTTTTTCTAAGCTTATTCATAAAACCAAAGTAATATTTGCTTACTTCCATTGGATTTATTACAAAAAAAATTTAAAAGCTAAAATGGCATAAAAATGCAAATTGCTATAATTTTATGTAAATATACAGCATTACACCTACCACCTGGCTTCAGTCATTTTCACCACAAGGGTAGGACATGGCAATGGCTGCACAGAGCAGCTGTGGATTCTTCACCTTTGGAAATACTCACAGCCTGACCAGGCATGGCCCTGGCTCTGAGTAAAGGGTTGGACTAGACAATCTCCAGAGGTGCCTTCCAGCATCCATAACTCTGTTACCCCACCACAGTGACTCAACATGCATGTTCACAATGCTAAATGACTGCATTAAATTGGTAGTGTTTGCACTACACAAGGTGTTTATTGCTTGGGGTGAAGGATTACCTTCCTTCAGGGACATGTGCTCCTATAGCACAAATGTGTACAGAGGGTATAATCTGCAGGTTGTCTATAGAGCAGAAGGGCAGAAATTTTCTTCTGAAAAGAAAATAGAGGGACTATTCTTTAAATAACAACTCAAGTTTCACAAAGACAAAAAATTAACATTTTCAAAGAAACTCACCCATCAGAACACACACATGGCTAAACAGGGAAATGCAGCCTACAAGTGAAAAGGCTGGACCTCTGAGCAACAGGTACAATTAGGTCAAGCTGTCCTCTGCACTCAGGAACATAGCCTGTATGTCAGTCACATTTCCATTTACATTGCAAAGGCTTTTGTTTGAAGAAATTACAATGTTACCGAAAGGGCATTAAGATGGTGGTTACAAGCCTGGACATGCTGGATTTGCAAAAGCATCTCTATTTTGGCACGTGATATATTCTGCTATTAAAGGTACAGGAAATTCCTTGATGAAAGCCAAAATAGCACATCCTGAAATAGTCTACTGGCAGTGACATAGTTACCGATCACCAGTGAAAGATGAGCTAATGTGATTTAAACATTTTCTTGGTGTCTTATAACACAGAATGGGCTACAGAAAAGGTTATCCAGTCCAACTGAAATTATGGTCCTATTGCAACAACACAATATCCTGATGAAGTTGAAAATCTGTCCTAGGCAGTGCACTGCAACTAAACCAACTAGATGGTAAATTAGATGTCATTTAATCTCCCACTTCCTCTGGTTTTCAGTCAGCAGCGACCTCTGTCTGACACTCACGTGTCCAGCCACTCACAGAGATTTATTAGTGCTACAAACAAAGGAAGAAATAAATAGTGGCAATTGTCATTACCACTGTTGTCCCACAGCAAAAGGTCCTGCTGTTAATGTCTGCAGAAAAGATCAAATCCAGAAGCTATACTCAATTTCAGAGCCACACTGGTTTCAAGTGGACCATTGGAGAAGGGAACAAACTATACTGAGATATTTGATTCCTACATGCAAGAAGCAATATTCCTCAGGTATTTCACAACTGTTGTTATATATTACTCTACGACCTTCTGTTTTATAGGCTGACTTTTGCTATCTAGATAATTAAAGACAGCAAAGCTGATCTGCACTCCATCGAGTTAGTGCTTTATTACCTTGATACCAGAAAGAAAGAAAAGCAAATATCCAAACTTAAATGTCACCCATTTCTCAAGGAACAAAAGGCTGTCACAGGAGTTCAGGTCAGCGACCCACAGGGCAGTATCCCGTACCCTGCCTACCAGGCCTCCAGCTCCTGCTGGGGGAGGATCGCCTGAAAGACTCATGTCCCATCTTCCAGCTAGGTAGGGATGTCCTGGGGCTCAAGGACAACTTGAAGGCGCCAGGCACTTATGTTTTGGCAAGTGAGTTGAGTCCAAAGTTTGCACTTCTCTCTAGAACTGCTGATAAGCCCCTTTATGAGATCCTCAGCTACTCTGCACAACAAAAGCAAGGAAAACCACTTCCTTAATCCTTCCCCAGGACAGTTCTTTTCAAAATATCCCTCTTCTCACCTTTCAGAAATTTAAATTAACCCATCATCTCTGCTTGAACAGGAACATCCACACTCAGTTTCTTTTCTTGTGCATAAAGAGAGGACATCATTATTTTGAAGCAAGAGGAATGTGGAAGAATAAGGAATGGAGAGAGATTATTTTAAAGGCAAAATGCAACAGTCACGTTGCTAACACTGTGTTGTTGCTAACAAACAAAATACACTCAATCGTTATGACTTTTCAAACATGTATGTAGGACTACTAGCAGAGACATAAACTTGAACCAACACCATAGATCTTACTTTGTCCAAATAATTAACATAATTTTAGCAACAACCATGATCCAGTCACAGAAATAGGACAGCTACTGCTGCAGTCATACAGTGTGTTAATAAAGTTAAAAAGGCCGACTGCCCTCACATATGGCTCTCATAGCCCACTTCTACAGAAACCAGTGGCAGTAAGCATGGACTCAACGGTTCATGACCCAGCAACTAGTAGATACTCCCTCTCCTGAAGGATGCTCACCTTTCTACCAGATTAGCTGCAGTTATATTAAAATTCAAGAAAAATGGCTGAAGTCATACAGTTTGCCTAAAGCAGAATAAGACTGAGTAACCTGACAGCCATTTCTGGTTTTGCTGATCGGTTGTTGGTTTTGGTGTGTTTGGTTTTTATGTTTTGGGAGTCTTTTTTGTTTGGGTTTTATTATTATTAATTTTTGTATCAAGAATTTAAATTATCAACCTTTATGCAAAAATTACAAAAGCAGTCATGAAGGACTATCACATAGAGAAGGGAGACATGAAGGGGGCATAACATCAGCTTTTCATGGAATCATAGAATGGTTTGGGTTGGAAGAAACCTTAAAGATCATCCAGTTCCAATCCCTCTGCCATGGGCAGGGGCCCATGTTGCTCAAAGCCCATCCCACCTGGCTTTGAACACTTCAGGCAGCCTGTCATCTACAAGAATACATTGAAAGGAAAAATATGTAAATCGTACCTTTCTTAATGCATTCAAGAGACTCTCAAGATTTGGTTGACACTTTATGGAAGCACTCTCCTTTATCCTACACATGAATGTTGGATAACTTTTTAAAGCCATTTTCCAAGAAATCGAAGGTTTACAAGAGAAATCAAATGAAGTATTAGAGTCCACCACGCCATTTGATCTCCCCTAGCTCATACAAAATAATCAGCATTTCATACCAGTGCAAATGTTACAGTGTGCCCTTGTTTAAATAAACTACATTAAACAAGTACAGACATTGCTGAAAACACTTCTCACTATGTGTGGCAATGAAATCTCTCAGCCTGCTTTCAAAGCACCTGTCAGGGAAGCTAAGGAACAGATTCTGATAATCTTATTTATGTTATGAACTTCACAAGACTTCTGTAGAAATAACAGCATTCCATTCACAGTGGATGGTCCTGTTCAAGGGAAACAAGAACTTGAAAATTTATCTCATGTAGTTAAAAAGGAGGAACTGTCAGGTTTGTATTATGGCCTAATAAATACTGGAAATGGTTGAATACAAGAGCTTTTATAAAGGGAAGTGTAGTGTTTATTTAAGAACACAGGTGTTTATGGTTTAGAAATTTAAGTTATACTAGAAGTATTTACAAAATACTTTTAAGAGAAAGTGTGAAAGTCCCCTCAGTAATTTCTACCTAACTTGAAATTAGTTAGAATTGTCACAGAAGCACATTAATCTGAACACTGAAAGAAATAAAAGGAAAACCACTTTCAAGGACGGGCATTTGTAGAAATTTTATTGCCATTATTTAAACCATATATTTAGCTTTTTTCATAGCATTATTAACTTTTGAGCTATAGCTACTAGCTAAATAGTAAAATAAAGAGATATCTAAACTAGCTTAACTAAACCAAGTAGTAGTTGTCTAGCTGTAACAGCAGGAGATTTCACAGAATAAATAAATTGCAGCAACAATCAGAATACTTTTACCACATTCAGACATCCACTTGAAGCAAAGAAATCCCAGTCATCTTCACACAACACAAATCTCTTCCTGTACCCTAAGATGTAAGAGGTAAGTGAATGAATTGACCCCTACAGGACACAGGCAGCAGAGCTGGGAACAAAGCACTGAGTAGATGTATTTTACTGATTTGGAGGACACGTACACTGATTTGGGGTTTAAAACTGGTGTGTTCTCAGGAGCACCCAAGCTCTTACCTTTACAAACATGAAAATCTCACAATCTTCCTGAAAATTGTCAGTTTCTCCAAAGTTATTGTTAAGAGGGAACTTGAGGGAAGTTGGAGAGTTGGAAGAAGTGCTCCGGCTCCGACGCAACTGGAAATCCAGAGGAAAATGCATGTTGCTCTTAAACATCATGCCCTCTACATGTTTATCTTCCAGAGTTGGGCTCATCAGATCCATCTCCTGGTATGGGTGGTCTTCTTCAGCACCATGGTGAGATGAAGAACCATCCTCCCCATCAGCCCCATGCTGAAAGGCAACAGAATTACTACAGCTATCTTCTGAGCTGTCCTGGCTACTATCCATGCTCTCGGGGAGAGTAGTGATGGAAGAAGGAGATACTGGATCTTCATGGACATGATCATAAAGATTATCCCTTTTGTCTTCTTTAGAGTCCTGAATCTCATAGATATTGGTGGTGTTAACATTTTGATAAACACTGTTAAAGACCTGATCTTCCATGACTGCTGGCTGGTGAGTTTTGCCTGCCTGCTGGTACCTTACAAGACTGCAGTTAAAGTGAGATATTGACAAATGCTCTTCAGGAGGAAGCAGAGTCTGTGGTGTGCTTTCTGAACGCTCTGCTACACATGGCAGATCTCCAACAATCATTTACTGAGAGCTATAAATCAACAACTACACTTCCACTGAAGTAAAAGGGCTGTCTCAGTTTTAACCCCTTTGTTGATCTGACTGCTGGTTACTGTATCTTAGGAGATGGAATCACTTGTTCATCAAGATATAGTCTGGCCAAGTACAGTGACGAACAGACAAAGCACCTACAAAGCTATGATAAAGAAATATGTATTTTTTCCACGGGAAGTCAAAAATAGTTTTACTGGCAATCTTATGCATATTTTGTGTAAAGAGAAACAAATGCAGACTTCACCCATTTACTCATATTTTCAACCCACAAAAACCTAGCTTCAAGGAAAAGCAAGGCAAAAGTGCCTCAACAAAACAAGCAAACATCTGCATATTTTCACTGGTTACTTACAACATCATCAGCAAATTATAATAATTTATAAAAAACCCTACAAATATAAAAAATTATAAAGTGGTATATCCATGAGAAAAAGCCATCAAACTTGAACTCTTTCCAGTTTTGACAGTGGTTTATTTGACCTTGAATGACTCCACATTTAACAACTTCATCCTCTCATCTATAAACTAGGGCCAAGACTGTAAAAGGCTTGTGAGCCACCCTGGAATCTAGGAAGGGGAAAAAAAACCACTGAATAAGCATTAATTATTATTATGCATACTTAATTTATTAATTACTTGTAATCACATTCAGGTTCTACATCTCCATGTCATAGACCTAAGCTGCCAAAGTTGGGTTAATGATGCTTGACTTCAGCAACCTATTTAGCCTCCTTCTCCATGCAGTTTCTTTTCTCTAGAGGACAGAGGCACACAGAAAACCCCGCAGTCTAAAGCAGATGAATACTTTCAGTTTTAGCATCCTTCTTAAAGATGGATAGAGATTCCAGAGCATCTGAAATCAGTGGAGTTGAAAATCATTACAGATTCAAATCTGAATTTATCAAAGTTGTGAGAGCTTCAGACCTGACTGACTTTTTATCTAGAGGTTTACTACATCTGGATTATATGGATTATTACAAGAACTGTTAGGATCCAATTATATTTAATCTTTTGGGGTTGAGCCACAATTTAAATTAAAGGCATTTTCCTCCTTGACTCATCCTTGTAGCTTCATGCAAGGTAACTGCTACAGCAAGGCTGGATTTGTAAAAGAAACAGAGGAGAGAGATTAAAGAGGATTGTAATTGCAGCCATCTCCAAACAGAACTAGGGGACCACATGCTTCTTTACATTGTAGAGTAGCAGGTGCTTCCTGTCTGAGATTTATAATAGTAATTGACTGTCTTTATTCTTATATTGAACTTTTTAGACAACTATTAAAGTTCAATATCAAAAGCAAACCAACACTTCACCTTATCAAACTTATATTCAACTAAGATTCCTAGATAATGCCAAAAGTGCCAAAAACATAGTCACAATCAGCAACACAGTACAAAGACGCAGGTAAGTATCAGAGATCAAGGAGATCTCTTAGCTCATGAGGGCACCTCAGAGGCTCCAAGGATATCTAACCCATATCAAGGCCTAATTTCAACTGTTATTACCCACAAATTGCTGCCTGGCACATGCAGTCCATCAGCAAGCAGAATCAATCACATCTCCTATTTACATTTTCTGCACGTAATTCAGTCAGAATTATTCATGTGGAAATCCTAAACAAGAGATTATGAAATTCATGCTGTCATCTGTACTGCAAACTTCAAGCATTCCATACCAGCTATTAGAGTGATGATAAAACTGACTTAAAATTATGAGCTTAATTTACTAAAGCTCAAGAAGCTTGGGAAAGCCAACAAGCCAACGAGAAAATGTTACTACTTTATTTTTTGAGTATTTTTGACCTTTATGAAAACACTTGCATTTCTTCACATTTTTAGAAATAAAAAAGTATGTCTACCTGCATCTGTTCAACTTGCTCTGAGCATGGCCTTGATAAGCAACTCCCTTGATCTTCAACCCTTCTTACAAAGTGCTCTTGCAGGATTAAGTATGCTGGGATTGTAAAAATTCCCTCCTTAGTCACTCTTCTGGCAAATATCTTAATGAAGAAAAGAGAACACAGGCATACATGATGCAAAACAAAGAACAAAGTCCAGTTGCACAGCATTAAATCCAGTGACTGCTTTTTTTTCCTGCACAAAGACAACATCAGCAGGAAACAGCAGCACCTGCTGGAGGGTATAAAACACCACAGGTAAAATAAGGAATAAAAAGAGTCATGTTTGAGTATTATTTAAACACAAATAGAGTTGATGTGGATTTCACTAGTCAGAAAACTTCTCCTTTCCTCTGCCTCCTCCAAGAGCAAAGAAAAGTCCCATTCAGCTCCAAGATCCAGATTTTACTCTTGTGACAGGGTGATAACACCCAGAATAAACTTGACCACATCTATGAATTTATCCAGGTGAAAATCAGGTGCATTTCAAGTCATCTTATGTGACCCCACTGCTGGTTTATAACCCTTATATTTCATCTTCAGGGATGACAGAAATAATTTTGGTGCCACGATTCTAAAGTTAGGTTTGCAAGAAACAAGATCAAAACTGAGGAGTCCACATTGTGGCTTTGAACATGAGTGTCCTATGCTGCTTCCCCCCTACTCCCAGACCAAAATTGCTCTGTTCCAGCAAAGGAACTTGTGTCCAGTGAAATGGGACTTCTCTCCTGCAGAGAAGTGAGAGGAAAGAGGTCGTATGAGGCAGGAGGGCACTAAAAAGTCTCAGCATCACTCTGCTCCATTCTCCATTGGAAAGTAAAGCCCTTCAAGCATCAGGCCCAGCTCTATCATCACAAGAATATAAGACTACAAAACAGAGAAATCACCAATTTAATCCATTCCCCGAATTCCTCTGCTCCCAAGTCCAGGGTGCTAGCAATACTTTCTGCTGTTAGCTCTGCGATCCAAGTTGTGTCCCTTACCACCCATACCCATGTGAGACATCCCATCACACTGGTTACTTGCTGTACAGAAATACATATAACAGTATAACCATAAGCAGCAAAATTCATATAAGGACAAAGAACATGAGCAACAAAACTCATCATTTTCAAGGTTTATTTTTTACTTCAGGACCGAATTTCTATTTTTATGCTAACCTTATTTTTTTTAATGCAAGAAATATCAGAATTAACATGACCATAACTCCAGTTAGTACACATAACCTCATGAAGTTCAACAAGGCCAAATGCAAGGTCTTGCACCTGGGTGGGGGCAATCCAAAGCACAAATACAGGCTGGTTGAACACAGCCCTAAGGAGAAGCTCTTGGGTGTATTGGGTGATGAGAAGCTCAACATCACACAGCAACGTGCCAAGCATGCCCTGGGCTGCCTCAGAAGGAGCATGGCCAGCAGATCGAGGGAGGGGATTCTGTCCCTCTAGTCCGCTCTGGTGAGAGCCCCCTGCAGTACTTTGTCTGGCTCTGGAGCCCCAGCATTATGCTGGGGCAAGTCCAGATGTCATGGTTTAAGCCCTGCCGGCAACTAAGCACCACACACAGCCACTTGCTCACTCCCCCTACTCCCCAGTGGGACAGAAAAGAACTGGGGAAAAAAAAAAAACAACAAACACCAATCATAAAAACACATGGGTTAAGAAAAGAACAGTTTAATGACTGAAATAAAATATTATAATAATAGACTAATGACAGCAATAATAGGAAATAGAAGAAGGAATAAACAAGAGTGTTGCACAATGCAATTGCTCACTACCCACTAACTGATACCCAGCGCAACCTGAGCAGCGATTGGCCCCTTCCAGGTAACTCTCCCCAGTTTCTGTACTGGGCATGACGTGCTGTGGTATGGAATACCCCTTTGGCTACTTTGGGTCAGGCATCCTGTCTCTGCTTCCTCCTGGCTTCCTGTGCTGTTCCTCACTAGCAGAGCATGAGAGACTGGAAAGTCCTTGATCAGGGCAAGCGCCACTGAGCAACAACTAAAACATCAGTGTGTTGTCAGCATTGTTCTTAGACTAAAGCCAAAACACGGCACTGCACCAGCTAACCACTAATTCTTTCTTCAGTCCAATTGACAGCAACAGGCACCTCAGAGACCATGATAAAAAGAGATGACAAATTATAATGAAATTAAGTATATTCTGGAGATGGTCTTTATTGCTGCAAAAGTCAGTCATCTGAGCTCCTTGAAATAGGTACCTTCTCAGACAGCAAGGCTGGAATTCACCTACATTTAAAAGCCTAGAAATGAACTCCAAAACTCACACTACAAACCTAGATAATTGCCTGTCTCACTCTACAGAGAAACATAGAGCTCAGTTCAGTAGCCCCAGAACACATACAGGCATTTATTGGTATTTGAGTTTGCATAGACCAACTTGGTTTTATCTAAAGTCCAGAAAACATAGTAAGGGCCCTGACACACTTAGAATGGTATGTTAAAATCACTGAAGCTGCTACTGAAACTTAAGCTGTTCACCCTTTAACTCCTTTTAGCAGCAATCAGCACCTCCAGCTTAAAATAGTCAAGCAGAAGGCTAGCTTGCAAAGAAGTTCCTATACTGTGAGAGTATGTTATCTGAAGAGGAAGAGAAGGGTAGAAAGAAGGAAGAGCAGCAAGAATGTCAGCATACCTTGCCTCTTCTCAGAGATTAGTAAGTAAAGGCAAAATGCCATATTGCACTATTTAATTCAGATTCCCAATACAAGACTTTTTCCTGGGTACCCCTTTAGGAAAGAAAATAATTTGCCTGCCTCCTAGACATTCCACAGCACTGGAAACTCCAACTCATCTAGAAGTGCCACAGGCAGCTTCAGTAGTTAACAGCCCTGTTTAGAAACAGCAACCTGTTTCTATTGCAGTTTCTCAGGAGGCAATTTCTAGTTGGTTATTGCTATGATTTTACTGCTTTAATTAAAAGAATCTTTAAGTTTTATTTATATTCCCTTAAGATGCTTCCACGCTTTAGCAAAGAGCTTGTAAATCTTTCATCACAACCTAAATAAACTGAGGTCAGTTGCTTGCTCTAAAGTAGCTTTGTCCAGCACCTAACGAAAAAACCTAATAGTTAAAACACCTGTGTAGTCTTGGAAACAGTTGAACCTGAAACTAAATGATGTTGGTAGAAATGGAGGATCTTTCTCTGTTCTCTTTAGAAGAATGAGAGATTGAAGTTCCTCTATCCAGTTATTCCCACAGACATTAACACTCACAGACCTGTTTGATAGGAACAGACTGTGAAAAGCAGCACTCTAGCAGTCCAAGCATCTGCAGCTCCCCAAATTGTTTCAAGATGGGAATGATCTGGTGAGGAGGAGGAACAAGACTGTTCAGTATGGCCATTTGTGCTCCAGCCTTTGGATGGTCACCTACGAAGATCACTGGAACCTTGCTGGTAAGAAGGGCTACTTTACAAAGGACAAGAAGTTGCACAGATACACTAACAATTTTATCTGTACTGCTACGTGTGTGTATGGAGTTAGCATGTTCAGCTCAGTTTCACAGTAACTGTTGACGTGCAGCTTTAGCAGTTTCTGCATTCTATTTAAGACATAGTACATAATAAGGAAATGAAAACACACTAAAAACATTTCAGAAGACAGCAGTTTGGTAGAAGACTTTGATCAACTTGCTGTTCCACACAGCAGTCAGGCCTTCAGAAGCCCATTTGCTGCTCAGCTAAAACTGGCCTGGATGCTGCAGTCTAGCTCATGAGTTCAGGAGCACGCTGTAATAACAGTGATTCATCTTCATCCAGATTTTGCTTTGCTACTGACTGCAAAAAGGTGTATTTATAGCCAGCATATCAGTAAATTTAACTCTGCAGAAGACAGATGCTTCTCCATTGGGAACTAGACAAACAATAGAAAATTATTTTGCACAGGACACTCAACTCTCATCAACAGCTTTTAGATGTTAAAAATACCAGGAATTATCAACAGACATTTGAAAATCTGCTTTACCTGCTGAAGGGCCTAAACAATTATTCCTGACTTGGATGTTCCAAAGCCCTTTATTTGTGGTCTTCCAGGTCCTTTTACAAGACTTTCTTTGGTTTTCTCTCTAGCTCTACTGTTGGAAACTCCATTAGAAACCTGAGAGCCTAAGAAATATAGGCTTTTTATTCCCCCAAGTGCTCCAAGGAAAACATTTCTGTTTGCCTTTAAAATTTGGCATCGTTTCAAAATCCCTGTTTGCCTCTGAAACCAAGCACCCTTAGGAAGCCCAAACAACCTGGCTTCAAGCTCATTTATGATGGAGGCTCTAGTATCCAAAATAGAGAAAGCAGAGACACCACCCTACTCTCTATCACCTTGTCATGCAACCTTCCGGACACCATTCCACGAACAGCTTGAGGAACAGCAGAGTCAAAAGCCCTTTTTCATTTATAGCCTTCATATACAACCTATTCCTTGGAATAAACGGGCACTAAAAGCTTAACATTGAATACAGTTTAACAGGTGTTAGCCACCTAAAACTTCTACTGTTTTATGGAACATCTTCCCATTTTTCTTCACCTCAACTGTATAAAGATGCATCAAAACACAGTAAATGGATTTTAAAAAAATACTCAGCAAAAATTATCAAAGAGATTTCACCACACAGACAAAATTAGGGAAAGAAAAAATAAAACGAAAAATGCAGGAAAATGTGCCTCTGTCAATATTCAGTTACTTTAACTCTTAAGTAATGAAAACACCCTGCTTTTTCTTAAGAAAGAAAATACCCATCTTATTCTTAAGACAAGTGTCTGAACTACCCATGTACAACATTTTGTTTTCTTCCAAATAAATAAGGAGTTGTTTCCCCTCCATAACACTGACAACAGGAAGGTATTGTTTCCCATCTAAAAATTAAGTGTTTTACTAAACCTAGCCAAACACTGAGAATATTTTGAGGTTGCCTACCATTTACTTCCCATCATTCACTGAATACCACTGACACAAACGAGTGTGTGTAATAGTATTCAAGCTGCAAACGCTCCATTACACCAGAGCAGTAAATCTATGGAGCTTCAGGCAGAATTTAGTATGGTCTAGAGCTTAGAAGAACTGCAGTCTCTACAGCCAAATACGGGGTGAAATGCAATACAGAGATATATTAAGGTGATGAAAGGCAAACGTATTGGTACCTCCCAGATTTACGTCTCTTAATGTAAGTATACATGTAACCACACCTTTTTCATAGGCATACACTGTAAACAGAACCAAGAGATGTATTAAATATGAATACATATTGGCTAGCCCAGTTCAAAGTCCAAAGTTGGTGTGGCATGCTGCTTTTATGATGTGTCAAACCGAATACATTATATTAGGCCAGGCTCATGAATAAGTGAATACTGCAAATGGGTTTCAAAAGCACCTGGGTAAGAGCAAAAGAGATTACTCACACCTTTTAGCACTGAATGAGTGAGTGATTATGCTTTGAAACCAGGTAAACAAAAGAGCATTGGTGCTTAAAATATATTTGTATCCCTGCATAAGGTTTCTAAGAAGACCCCAACCGAAATTTGATGAAATTGGCTAAAAGAAGACAACTGTTATGTGCTCCCCTGACCTCTAATTCACTCTGTGTAATAAATACTTTGAAGGAAATAAATCGGTAAAGGACACTTCCCTCCTCCACATGATCTACTGTCGTGTGCATATTTACAGACCTGAATCAGTGTAACAAACAAACAAAAAACAAGAAGAAAAAAGGGACAAAAGACAAAGTCCTTGACTTGAACTTGACAAATAACATGGAAATACCTTCAAGAAGTCTTATAAGGTCACCTGGATTTTTTTCCTCCTGTGTTTTGCCCCACCTGCTACATTTCCCTAAATCAAGGTGAATCAGGCTCATGCCATTTTATTCAGCTGATTATACCACACCATTAAAGCCACTCTACAGTCAGCATGCAAAGGTAGCACAACCTGCCAAACTCATGCATATATAAAAGACATTAGAAAGAAACAAGCTCAAGTCTATGAGGCATTGAGTATAAACAAGCTAAGAGGATGCACAGTGTGAAATCCTCTAAGTCTGCCATGAAGTTACAGACAGGTTGTCTTCTCAGTTTTTATGATGAAATTTAAAATGGAGTGATTATTTCTGCTCTGTGCTATCAAAGGACTCTTTATTTTCTCTGTTCAGGCAGAGCTGATTTCATTATTATTCAGCACCAGTAATTTAACAGCTTTTGCAGAATTACTAATGTCTTCTCATAATAAAAAGGAAAACCAAGGGCATGTGAACTGTTTGCCTTAATTTATGAAGTAAACTTACACCAGGACATAAAACTGTTCTCAACGCATCATACCATAACACACTGCTTTCCTAACAGCAGCAGTGGCATTCAGCATTCTTACATGCAACAGCACAGTTCATGCATACATACTTACACACAACTCACAATTTCCTGCTTGTCTTTAAAGTCTTAGGGCAAAGCAGCATGCCACAAGAGAACGCAAAAAGGTCACACACAGGAAACAATATGAACAGCCACTTTCGGAGCTGCACAACCAACGGGTGTTCCAGAGAACAGGAAACTGACAATCACGCTGACAACCGCCATTGCCTCGCAAAGGCCACAGCTCGGGTCTGCTGCGACACCTGCAAAGGAGGCAGGTTACAGGCATCCTGGGGAGACACATGACAGCTCCTAGTCACACAACCGGCCACAGCCTCGCCTTACCCGGCAGCATCCTTCTGCAGCCACCGGCACCCCAGCAAGCAGCCTGTGCCCCAGGAAAGCTCTGACCCCTCACCAGCAGGACCAACATCCCAGCCCAGAGGAGCTAACACCTCTCATAAACCTCACATTCCCCCACAACCTGCCACATCTCCCTGCTTGTGACAGCTGCCTCCCACAGCTCGCCTCAGCTCTCGTCTCATCAACTTCCCACAGCCCCGCTCCTCAGTCCCCCATAGCTCCCTACGCCCTGCCTCCTCTCAGTCCCCCTTAGACCCCTCAACTCACATCTCCCCATGATTCCCTACAACTCACTTCAACTCTCCCCCCCGTTTACCTTCAGCCCGCCCCTCACCTGACTTCTCCCCAGCCCCATTCCCCCCAATACCCCTCAACTTCCTCGGCTCTCCCCGCTCCCCTCCATGTCTTACAGCGCAACGCCCACTTCCCCGCAGCCAATCAGCGCTCCCGCCAGCGAGCCCTCAACCAATCACATGCTGCGGAGCCCCCCGCTGCCGCGCCCCCCCGGGCAGTGCCGGCGCTGCCGCCCCTGAAGCGGTTGGTGCGAGGTGGGGGGCGGGTGCGCAGGCGTTTTGCTCGCCTTGCTTCCTGTCCCGGTTCCCCGCCGCAGCCGGTCACCTCCGCGCCTGTCCCGGCGGCGCTGCCAGCAGGAGTGGGGCCTAACAGTGGGGTCGGGGCGGAACCGCGGCGGCCGGGCAGCGGGGAAGGGGACGACAGCGGGGCTGTGGTGAGTGGTGCTGTCTGAGCGCAGAACGGGGCAGGGCCGAGGGACCCCTCCGGGCTCTGGTGGCTCCTCCTCCTACCCCGTAGGATTTAGGGTGAGGGGAAATGAAGCATTGTCGGGCTCCGTGGAGCCGTCGCCGGTGTGCGCGGTGAGGCCGGAGGCCGTTGGCTGAGCGGCCCCGCGGTGCAGGCGCTCTGGCTCCAGGAACGCTGAAGAGTGGGTGGATCTGAGGTGACAGTCCGCAAGGTAGCGCGTTCCTGACCAAGCAGAGCAACAGGGGACGTGGGAGCCTGGTTAGGAGGTTCAGGATAGTTGTAACCATAGAATGGTTTGCGTTGGAAGGGACCTTAAAGCTCATCCAGTTCCAACCCCCTGCCAGAGGCAGGGACACCTTCCACTAGACCAGGTTGGTCCAAGCCCTGTCCAGCCTGGCCTTGAGCACTGCGAGGGATGGGGCATCCCGTGCAAACAGGGATGGAGTAATGCTGATGGAGTGTGTAAACCAGAAATGCTTAGCATCTTTGGAGTATTTCTAAGGTGATACTATGGTCTTAAGCCTTAACTGTGCTGTGAAAAGGCTTGCTTCTGTTTTTTAAAGCAATTGATAACATGAAGCAGGCAATTCTCTGCTCCATGGCTTATGTAATTACTTCATTTTTGCCTCTCTAAAGGGGCTGTATTTCACAAGCGGTCTGTATTAGAAGATCCCTTAAAACTGTTTTGGACTATCCTTTCTTCGAACATTTGTATCTTATAAAGAAACTTTAACTGTTGCTTTGGGTGTGTGTGTGGGGGGCGGGGGGGTGATTTCCCATGCTTTGAATTCCTCTACTTTCATCTTTGAAGTCATGCACTCACAGTTTCTAAGAGTTTGGGGAAAAGGGTTGAGATAGGCTAGAAGATATTACTCTAGTTAGGAAGATACCTGCTCTTCCTCCTGGAATCACCCTTGTTTGTGCAAGATAAAGGAGAAATTTGCTGGGGTGGGCTTTACTTTCAGAAAGTAAATACACTGTCTGACCATCTTGCAAAGGTTTTTGTGAAACCTGGAATTCACTTCCTCTTTCTGAAAGGCTTATAGAATAATTCTGAACAAAGTACTCCTCTCACATAATAAGTTTAAGGATAAAAAAAGCTTACAAATCATGCCTTTGTTTCATAATAGTAATGAATGCATTGGTGAGAAATACTTGATTCATACCTAAGGTTACTAATGATTTTTATTTATTTTTTTTAGTTTTATTTAGAAAGAAATGCGATACATTGAGAACAGGTTTAAATGCTGTTATGTTAGATGTGCAACAGCTTGGAAGGAAAACAGCAGTCACTCCTGGCAGTTTTATGTACAGAGTAAGCAATGATTAAACAGGAGTGTTGAAAGGCTCAAAAGTCTTCCAGCAACAAGAGAGGGTGAAAACTGGAAAAAGATGGGCTGAAAAGGAAAAATTGTAATTACAGAAGAAAACAAAATTCTGGTCTGAACAGTGATGTGTAATGAGGATTTAGAGCTGCAGAGGATTCTTAAATGTGGAGCCAGAATTGTTCAGGAATCTGTGCTTGAGCATGAAGAAAAATACTGATTGACTTTGAATGCCGAATCATAATAAGACACACAGAACAATGGAGGGATTGCTTAAAAAAGAGAAAGCAATTCTTCCTTTCATTTAGTCTAGAATGAAAGAAAATCTCATTGCTCAGTTGTTTCAATGTATGAAAAACTATGACAATATATGAGAAGCTTCTGAAGTCGGTATGGAAATCCACTGTTGACTTCAGTGGTTGTTTAGACGGGTTATTTTGCAGTTATCTCCTACAAGCAAGATGTACATAATGTCTAGCCAGTTAAACTGGTTCCAGTACAAGTACTTTGTGTTACGTGCCTTTCTTTTGAATTTTTCAGGTGCATCTGATTACCTGCTGTAAATACTTTGAAGTATCAACAATGAACTCAATGTTAACATTACTTTTCTCTGGAATAGTTGCCTGTTGTGCTCACTCTGTGGGTGATCCAGTATCCAGGTTACTCCTTGTGTCCTTTGATGGCTTCAGGGCTGATTACTTGGAAACCTATAAACTTCCTCATCTTCAGCAGTTCATTGAGGATGGTGTGCTTGTAAAACAAGTTGCAAATTCTTTTATCACCAAGACTTTCCCAAACCATTATACTATAGTGACAGGTCTATATGAAGAAAGCCATGGCATTGTGGCCAATGACATGTACGATGCAGATGCCAAGAAGAAGTTTTCACAGTTCAATGATTCGGATCCCTTCTGGTGGAATGAGGCAGTTCCAATTTGGGTGACAAATCAACAGCAGGGAAATGGAGCAAGCGCTGCTGCAATGTGGCCTGGTACCGATGTAAAAATTAATGATACAACCCCTCAGTTTTTCATGAAGTATAACTTTTCAGTAACGTTTGAGGAGAGAGTGGAGAAAGTCATTGCCTGGCTGAACAGCTCTAATCCAGTAGTCAGTTTTGCTATACTGTACTGGGAAGAACCGGATGCAAGTGGACACAAGTTTGGGCCAGATGACACTGAGAACATGCGCAAGGTATTAGAAGAAGTGGATAATCATATTGGTTTCCTTACCAGTAAACTGAAGGCATTAGGTTTGTGGGATACTGTTAATATCATAATAACAAGTGATCATGGAATGGCCTCCTGTTCAGCAAAGAAGCTGATTGTCCTCGATAAGTGCATTGGGCGCAACAACTACACTCTGATAGACAAGACTCCAGTTGCTGCAGTGCTGCCAAGACAGAGTATGTTTTGGTTTGTTTCTTTGTTATTTAAGTCATACACTGAGAATTAAATGTTGTTTATCTTGCTACTAAAAAGTACATGCTATGGCAGATGGTTCACATCTCTGCAAGATGAACTACACTGCTTTTGCAAGTTTGACATAATTTAATGAATAAGTTAAAGAATTTTTATTTAGAAAGTACTTTGCTTTGGTAATCAGTGTCAAATTATTATGGGTGGTAAAGATGGTCCTGGTACAGCTTGTTGAGAAAGTACACAGGCTCTTAGCGTGAGTACTGCATTCAGCCCTGGGGCCCTCTAGACAGTAGGGATATGGACCTGTCAGAGCAAGCCCCGAGGAGGGCCATGAAGGTGCTCATAAACACAGGCTGAGAGAGTTGACCTTATTCAGCCTGGAGAAGAGAAGGCTCTGGGGAGACCTTAGAGCAGCTCCCAGTGCCTAAAAGGGCTGACAAGAAATCTGGAGGGGGGCTTTTGACAAGGGCCTGTAGGGACAGGACAAGGGGGAATGGCTTTAACCTGACAGAGGGGAGATTGAGATGAGCTCTTAGGCAGAAGTTCTTCCCTGTGAGGGTGGTGAGGGCCTGGCACAGTGTGTCCAGAGAAGCTGTGGCTGCCCCATCCCTGGCAGTGTTCAAGGCCAGGTTGAATGGGGCTTGGAGCAACCTGGTCTAAGGCAAGGTGTCCCTGCTTCTGGCAGGGGGGTTGGAAATAGATAACCTCTTTTAAAGTCCCTTCCAACCCAAACCATTTTGTGATTCTATGCCTGTTGTTGCTCACTTAGTCTATATGGTTATAATTCACAGTGAGCATTAAATAAACCCTTGTGTTTATTAAGACTTTTTGTACCTTGGAGTAATTACTAACAGGCATGTCATGACACTGCTGGTCTCAGTTTCCATATCTGTGGCCAAACTGAAGCAATTCTAATGAACAAAGTGATATATATAGTAACAAAATCTACTGCCTTGGTGTGTGATTGCCTCCTCTTGATTTCTCTGCTTGAATTTTGCCCTCCTACTTTGCATGTTCAGATGGTTAATTCAATAACTCAGTAAGAGCAAATTGTCAAATTCACCTTGATACCTGTAGTGTTTCACGGGGACCTGAACAAATAACTTATCTATGTGCCTTTTAAAGAACAATTGTTTTTAAAAAAAAAAATAAAAATCTGAGGCTTAATGACAGGCAACTGCAGTACCAGGACATCATTTCTGGCTGTTTCACATGCACTTTTTTTCTTGGCAGACAAGGAAGATGTGTATAACTTACTGAAAACATGCAACAGTCATATGAAAGTGTATCTCAAAGAAGACATTCCAGACAGATTTCATTATCGTCATAATAAGAGAATCCAACCCATAATCCTGGTTGCAGACGAAGGCTGGACCATTGTACAGAACGAGTCACTGTCGAAATGTAAGTGCATGTCCCTCATTTGTGCTCTTGGTGGCTTATGTTGATAAACTGTCTTGGGTTTATTCCAGCCATGTGCAGGCTGGTCCCAGTGTTTCTTTAGGAACATCTCAGCATTTTCTAGAACAGTCTCAGCCTGAGTCTGGAATGTTTTAATGGATGCAGAAGAGATGGGGGATATTATTTTGGCTAAAATACATTCAACCTAAGAGTTATCTTAGGCAAGTCAGTCTCAAGCTTCTACTAAAGGTAGTTTAGCTCATTTTTGTTTATTTATATATAAGAGCACAGATTGAAGCATGCCAGACACAATACTTAATGCTACAGCACATATAATAGAAAATAAAAATAAATGGGGTGAAATACTAAAAATACTAGGAACACAACAATAATGGCCAAAGAAGCCAGAGCTCTTCCTGTTAGGGGTATCAAATAGTATGTTTTAAAGAGAAAAAACAAATGAGATGTTACTTCATAGAGTGCATTGCTAAGCTGTGCATGTTTTTCCTGATACATGTAATGAATGCCCAATTGCATATGTATAGGTGTGATTATGTATGTATAAGTATTTCCAGGTGTTTCACATGCAGGGTTGTTTTTTGGCAGATGAGAGATGTATATAACTTGCTGAAAAAATGCAACAGTTACATGAAAGCCACGGGCTTTAAACTGACAGAGGGGAGATTTAGATTAGATATTAGGAAAAGATTCCTTACTATGAGGGTGGCGAGGCGCTGGCGCAGGTTGTCCAGAGAGGCTGTGGCTGCCCCATCCCTGGCAGTGTTCAAGGCCAGGTTGGGTGGGGCTTTGAGCAACCTGGTGTAGTGGAAGGTGTCCCTGCCCATGGCAGGGGGTTGGAACTGGATGAGCTTTAAGGCCCCTTCCGACCCAAACCATTCTGTGAATTTATGTTTATTTCTACAAAAGTACTGTTTTCAAAGTAAGATATGTTTATATTTTAATTTTGTCACAGATTTGGTACAGTCATCTTCAAATTGGCAATACTTGGCACACATGTTCTCTAATAGAGGTCTCTTTCTTGTTTACAATTAGATTCATTTCCATGTACCTAAAAATAGTTAATAAGTCTATGTTTATAAGTAACAGCTTTGTATCAGTTGAAGTGAATCACTTTTCAAAACAATTCTGCTAGCCAAACCTTCCCAGAAGCAGGCAGGGGAGGTTTTAGCCTAAAAGGTTATTTTAAGTGTTTATTGTACTTGTCATCACAGACAAGAGTGGCAGTGTAAGAAGTGGCTAGTGTACCAATTCCTACAGCGTTCCTGTGTCAGCACACAGCAGCCCTCCCACTTCAGGGGTGGAAGATAGGAGTCTTTGTTGGAGTGGGAACTTGGAACAGCTCTGTTCAAAATAAGAGAGCAGTAGAAGGGAAAAAAACCAAACAGTGTAATCTGGAAAGATAGGACTGCATTAAAACAAGCAAGATGTGGTGCAATAGTATCTTTGTGGTAACAAATGTAATGGTGGAAAACATTAAAAAGGAATATTGAAGTACACTGAAGTGGGTAGTGTGACCTAATCAATAGGAATCTTGATATTTCACATAAGAAACTTCAGTGGAGGAGCCAAGGAGACAGTTCTGAGACTTGTTAACTGTTAGTGAGAAATGAACTGAAAACTTCAATGCAGCTGCTCAAATACTGTGCTGTGTTTGCTATGAGAAATTTTTAGCATCTTGGGCAATTTTTTCAGGCATATTATTAGGAAATTTAATTATAGCTGGTTTTTAGCTCTTTATATTCCACCAAAAATCTGAGTATTTCTTAAAAACCTACCAAATGTCCAAGTACTGGTGGCCTTATAGCCACAAACGTTATGTTGTATGCCTGTCACCAACACTGTCGTCCTTTGACTGTGTTTTGGTTTTGACTGCTTGGGTGTCCCTTCACCTGAAGTACATAATCTGATAAGCATGATTTGAGGGTACTTCACATGCTGGAACTGAACACTGCTTAAGGAAAAGTGCTTGGCTTTTAAGAAATAATTAAAATGTCTGCTTTGCAAGGGGCAATACCTATCTAAAACCGGAGAAGCACAAATCTACATTCCAGTTACTGGCTTGTGGAGTGGCCACTTCCTTTTCAACTTTGACATGAGAAGTGGGAAGGGGAAAACTGGAAGTGTTGATGGCTGAAAAGAGATAATGGAGGGGGAACCATGGTGGAAGACCACTATGGGAAAAGACTTCTGGGGATTGGGGAGGAGGAAGTCTGGGTTCCTTCTGTGTTTTATCCAATAACTGCTTTTATGGTCTGCATTAGTCTTTGGTTACAACATGTGCCTTTAGGGGGTGGAGAGAAGGGGAGGGGAATACTCAATATGCAAACAGAAATTGTGATTTTTAACTCTGTAAACTTTGCCTTTCTCCAGTAGGTGACCATGGCTATGACAATGCTCTCCCAAGCATGCATCCATTCCTGGCTGCTCACGGGCCTGCTTTTCGTCGGGGTTACAAGCAGAGCACAATAAACAACGTTGATATTTACCCAATGATGTGCCACATCCTGGGCCTGACACCGCTGCCCCACAACGGCACTTTTAGTAACACCAAGTGCTTGCTTGCTGACCAGTGGTGCATAAACCTTCCAGAAGCTATTGGAATAGTCATTGGGGCTTTGATGGTACTGACTACCTTTACTTGCATTATTATAATCTCCAAGAATAGAGTAGCTCCTGCAAGGCCATTTTCCCGACTTCAGTTACAATATGATGATGATGACCCCTTAATTGGATAGCGTTAGGGAGCCTCATCTTGCTTGCTAAATAGGGATTTCAGGAAGAGAGTTTGCACTTGCACTGGATGGCATTCTTTGCACTTTAATGGTATATGTATAAAATACTGTACAGCCAGATCTTGCTAACTTGTTTGTATGTGCTTCCTGACTAGTAGTCCTTTAAAACATGAGCCAACAAAACAATGAGCAGGTGGCATTCTGCTTGAAGAGATGCTTAACAAAATAAGGATGCTTAGTTTTTCAAAGCCTTTGACCACTTTCAAAATGAAATCCCAGAGTGTGAACTAGACAGGTTATAGACTCAGTGGATTTTTAACACTGTAAATGTGGGATAATATTTTGATAATTAATGGGGGTTTTATATTAAATTTAAGTTAATGTTGACTTTTAGTGTTCTTGTACATGTTTTTGAAAGATGTTTTTTATGAGAGTTAAAAGTTACTTCTGTTTGGACAGTATGTTCTGATTTGTTTTTGAATTTGGGCATAGAAGGCATAGAGAACATCCCAATACTTCTGTCTCCACCCTAAGCAAGCAATATGACAAGAAACTGGTGAGAAGGAAAACAGAAGTCAGCAGGAAAAGAATTGGTGCATATCACTTTTACTTTGAGCAATAAAGTGTGTGGTTCAGCAGTTGTAACACTGCACAGATGGCTGTTGACATGTCCAGATGTGTGCCTGTGGATGACTTAGTTCCTGCATAGCTCCAGTTAGGATGGTACCACTTTGTTTATCTCAAAGATCTCGGTTTAAACGGAGAATCCCTCAACTGATCCAGTTTTGGGGTTGTAGGGGAAAATTGCTGTTTCTAAATGCTGTGAGAAGCTTTTCAGGTATAAACTCTGCTAAAGGTATTTTTTGTAATAGAGGTGGTTCTGCCCTGTGTACCAGCTGGTAATAATCATTTGAAGGCTGTCGTGCTAAAAAGCAACAACTGGAAGTTTGATATGCAGTCATCAAGCACTCCTATTTTAAACCTTGGAAATTTAAAGGGAAAAGTTAGTTTAGTTTTTGAGTTAAGATCTGTTAGCTGTAGTGTCTGAACTGTATAGATGCAAAGTTCTAGTGCAGACCAGGGCTAGTGTTCTCTTTCTTTGAACTCTTGATTCCTTGTTAATGGGCAAGTCTAGTAACTTGCCATAAGAGAAGTTGATTTAGAAAGCCTTAGTGGTACCTTATATTTCAGTGAGCAGAGAAGGTGGCTTAAATTGCTAATGCTGTCCCCAAAAGAGAACTATAGTTACCAAGTGCTTTTCCTGTAAGTTTGATAGTTGAAAAACTGATTAATTTGAAGTGACAGCACTCGGGTACCTGTTAGCATGCAGCATGGTTTCTTGTTTGCAGGCTCAGGTGCAGTGCAGTTTGGTGTTAGCCACAGACTTTTCCCTGACTTTGGAGGGAAGGGTTACTTTTAACTGCCTGCTTCAAAACTCAGATGTATTTGGGGTTTTTAAAATTATTTGTGGAAGTCTTACTAATTTGTATCTTCCTCCCTGAGGATTCTGTTGTACTGATTAAAACCACGATGCACAAGCTAACCTGTTCTGTTTTCTTTTTCCTCCCTCTTAAACTGGTAGCTCCTACTTGCTGACTAATGCTTTACTCTGAATTCATCTGAACTTGAGAGAAGTTCAGGCCCCTTCAGAAGTCAGTACTGTTACTGACAGTGTAGTGGGCTTTAGACTGTTACAATAAAGCAGTAACAGGACTGAATAGAGAAGTCACTTTCTCATTCCGCTGGAAGATTTAAAGTAATTCATTACATACAATAAGAGGTTAGGTTAAGGAGTAACTATAAATGTTTTACAGCATCTCAGGCTTAGAGATGCTGTAAAAGAGAGGATGCTTGAGTTCCTTGGAGAAAGTTGTTAGCTTCTTGTTATTTTGCTTAAGAAGGCATCCTCAGCTTTTCATCATCTGTGCATAGAAAAGCTTGACTCAACTGAGTTATCTTTATCTTTCTGGCAGACTCAGTAAAAGACTAAACTGTTCTCTACCTGTCAGAAGGGTTATTTTTAGATGCTAAAATTAGCACAGTATATGCTGTTCTCTATTCTTCCCTTCCTCCTCCTTCCCTGAATAGCTGTCATGCAGTGTGACTGATGCGCTTTCAGTTCCACTGTGCATCACTGTCATGGGCCAGGTGTCACAGTTACCATCAGGATTTTAGTTACCAGAAATGTAAATGTTGACAAGTACAGTGGTAAGACTAATCTGAATATGAATATTGTCAGAGATTAAAAAAATCTAGAACTGTACTTCTCTTCCTAGCTGTAGGTAGCCCATTCTGACAAGAAGATCTCCTATGAAACCAGGCAGTGAGCGGTAGTTATCTAACAGAAAAGCTTCTTACTCTCTACTCCTCCTCCCTTTAGTGTTGAGACTAAACAGTGTTATTGTGGAGAAGGGTTTAAAGAGAAAGCTGAACTATTAAGAAATAGGATAAACTCTATTCTGGTTGCATTACTAGTTATCATCAATTCCAATTAAGAGTACCAAATCTTCCTGGCATAACTGCTGCTGGCAGGACAGGCTTCAAAGTAGCTCTTGTACAGCCAGGATTTCATACAGATAATGTACAAATAAAGGACCTAGAAGAAACCTCCTTGTCCTTAGACACAAAGTTGAAATATTTAAAGCAGACTGTTTTCAAAAGTTAGTGCCTAAAACATGGTTTAGTATTTCCACTGTCCAATTATAGCATGTGTGAATTTCTGCTTGTGGAAGTCAGCACCTGATTTCCTTTTGAATAGTTTATTTAAAACACAAACATAAGAAGCCATGACTTTCCCCTTCCTCAAAGCTGTGACAGAGGAAATACATACCCTACAATGGTTTGTGGCAACATTTAATGACTTGTGAAATATACACAACTCTGCAGCATTCATACAGGGCATATTAGTTTAGGGGAAATGAAGAAAGATGTTTCATTATGTTGACTACCTCGATAAAGGAACTCTCAACACTGCATAGAGAAGCCTTTATAACATCCACCCCTTAGGATTTATATGTTTTTGTCCTTTTGCCCTCAGGAAACAGTTCCACAACCAATCTGATTCAACCAACTACAGGTCCAAACCATTTGTTACAAAGGAAGTTTAACTTGCTGTAATTAAAAAAGAATGTAGTGTCTATGAATACAAACCAACAGCATTTACATACCTCCAATGAGAAGACCACAAAGGTTTGCTTTAATATGCATGGTACCATCTTTTATTGCAGAAAACAGTAAGATTTGTTAATAGGATTCAGATCAGGACTTCATTACAGCAAGGCCCATTGAATGTGGTGCTTTTGTGTGCTTGCAACAATCATTGTAGCCTCACATGTAATAAACATACATTACCTTTACTGTAGTGCAAACATGCCCTTTCTGGAAAGATGTGTAGAGCAGCACAGGTATGGTCAAGCCCGAATCCGTGGCCATTATTTAAGCAGGGAAGATGACGTGGCAGGAAGCCTGTGGCATTTGCACTTTACAAAGCAGCAGGATTCAGCAACTGCCTCTTCGTCATTCTCCCAGCACACAGCTCAGGATTGCATTGTTCCACACCTCTGAAAAGTCATTCTGCACAACCCTTGGAGAAATTTTTGTGCCCCTTTTTGTTTGAGCCTGCGTTTCTTGCAAATAACATTACTGCAGCTCGCTCTTTACCAAGGAAATCTGCACGGCTTGTTTTGATAAAAGAAACTATTACCATTCCTGGTAACAGACAGCTGTTATTTTCATATACAACAGCAAGGTGGGAAACGAGAGGTCTCTTAAGAAATTTGACCTAAAATTCTGAAGTTCCATCACACTTCCAGTTATTTTCAATTATAGATACACTCTACAGAGTACATGAAATATTTGGGATACATAAGAGTTAAGGCCATTCCCCCCCAGCCACCCCCCCCACAATTCAAGTTTTTTCCAGAAGTCCTTTTAAATGAAGCAAGCACTCAATGCTTGATCGCTCTATAGCAAGAACATATTTCAACGTTTCCAAACAGAAAGAAACAAAGAAAATGTTTGACATCTCAAAGTATGCTTCACAAGTCAGTAATGAAAGACAAAATAATGCAAGCTTCTCTGTTTCCAAGCTTCTCTGTTTCCAAGCTTAAGTTACAAGTAGCATGGAGCATACTGAAACCCATTTCCAGTAAACTTGTTTGTACATCAAAAAAGTACCATATACACAGAAACCAAATCCCAGATCCTCCCCAGCCAAAAGGTAGTCTGAAAAAATCTCCCATCAGAGAAAAAGTTGCTATTTTTCTCCAGTGACATTATCACTGTGCTTTCAATTTCATTAAGCATACATCCAACACCTTAAAACAGTATTTAACATTGGCTAGAGTAGTTAACATATTTGCCCAGAGGTTCCTGCAAATACACCTCAGCAATAAACATGTTTAAACCTACACCTAAATACCTGAATGCTGAAAGATTCCCTTCTGTTTCCTACATAGTTGCAATTTACCCCCTCAAAGAAGGGCCTTACAGTGCAATACAGACCAGTGGCATCCAGAAGAATTCTCATGCTTGTGTTCCCAATTATTTTAGGTATTATTATTCCCAAACCCTTTGTCAGGGGAAACATACTCTTCCACTGTTGTATGTTTGTGCAGGTGAGTCCCAAGATGACTGAACAACACTGACCAACTTTGCCTCCTCCTTAAAATCCAGGGTCACTATTGGCCCATGACAGAACTACCCTGGTCACAATTAAAGAAGCTGGAGTTTAATGATCACCTCTGAGATTACAATCCAGTCATTTTTACCTCAGTGAAATTACTGCAATGACAATTTCTATTAAAGCAGAATGTTCCAAAGTGAGAAAGTGTGTAGCTGAAGTAGCTACAGGATATGTTTATAGCATCTCCAGTTTTCAGTTACTCCCTTGACAAAGCCTCTAGATCTTTCTTCAAACACAATGTTTATGCTAAAGCTACAAGCTAAGTTACAAATAACAAAGAAAAGTTGGACTCAGTGCATTAAGCTGCTGTCTGCCACCCACTTTTTGGAAGGTAGCCAAGGAAGTGATAAGTCACAATTTAGAGGTTCAGGTTTTCTACTCGTACTTCCCCAGACACTCTAGAAACTGCTGTGAACATCACTGTTGCCTCCGTCAGCGTGAGAAGCCACTGCAGCATTCAGCCTTAGCTGGCATCAGCAAAGTAAACTTAAGATAAAGCTAATGGTCAGCTCCACTAAGAATGGGTTTTACAGTGCCAGATACACCTAACTCAGGTGTTTTCCTTCAGTGTTTTCTTAAGAAAATGTCAATGTATGTAAACAAGGCAGCAGTACACGGAACAGGAAGAGCAGGACTGCAGAGATGAGTCAGATTCTCATTAGGCTTCATACATATCCCCAAATCAAGGGGCTCTCTTCCACAGATCTGCTAGTTTCCTGTCTTCCTACAGCTATTATTACAGGTAGAATTTCAGCAGACACCTTAAAGTGGAGCATTTGACTGCCTTTCCTCTCAAGCAACCACTACACTGCGCTGTGGTCTGTGGAAACCTTCCACATCCGTTTGCAAGACCACTTAATGCCAAGCAAGTGTCCCTGTCATCACAAAAGAATCCAACAGGTTGTTACTTCAGCCACACTGAGCACCAGGCAGTTCGTGACATGGCACTGCAGAGTCATCACTGAGGCAGTGAGGAGTACACTCACATTTGAACTCACCAAGGTGGCATTCAGTAGGTCTGGAATTAAGTTCAGCAAAATGAGTTTTGTACTTCAGTTAGTCAGCTTGTTGCTCCTTCCTAGGTCTGCCAGCAACCCTGCACCTGCAGCTTTACACTGTTAGTCACACCAGTAGTTTGACAGATCACATCCAAGGCCAAGATGTCCCCCCCCTTTGCCCTTTTCTGTGTGCTGTGGCTAAAGCCACAAATTACACTTGAAATACCAGACTCACAGTTTGTGTGAATTTTGAAAGAGTTTCTTTCTCCTTCAGGCACTGTAGTCAGAAGCAAAGTGCAGAGAAATAGTCAACTCATATAGGGAGGGGAAAAACAACCACCAGCTTCTAAACAAGTCAGACAACTAGACAACTTTTCTCACTTCAAACCATGAAGGTTTCATGCAAACCTTAGTCAGCAGCTTCTCGCCTCCCATTTAAATTAGCTCATCAAAACCCCCACAGCTACAATAGCAAAAGATCTATTGCTCCGTGCAAAATTATCAGAGCAACATATAGTTTTGATGACCCATAATAAGTAATTTTCCTTGACAAGAGACTTTCCTCTGGAAGAACAAACCCCAGTCTTATGCCTCTTTTTCATATTAAAGTGTGCTTTTTCACATTTAAGATATAGATATTCCTTAAATCATATTTATCAAACTCTAAGGTTTATTCAGTCAGATAAAACACGAGACAGCAAGCAAAGCCCATACCAGAGAAGAGTCTCCAGTAATAGATCAGATGCTGTCACCCAGTGACAAGCTTGACAGCACTCTGAAGACAGCTTGCACATGTACATTCCTTTCCTGATTCATCTGCCTTATTCTGAAGGAACCCTCTCATCACAGAAACATG